GTGGTGACCAAAGTGCTCGCGTTCGTCTATCGGCAGGGAGTTGCGAATGGCGAAGCGAGCGTGGGCATCACGAGTCTGCCACTGTGAGCGAGCAGTGCTGTCAGCAGTAGCAGCAGGGGCAGTGACAAGGCCTAGGGCGTGATCGTACAGTGAGATGTCATCCTTGGCTGTGAGCTGTAGGTAGAGGTGCAGGTCATCGAGCCAGGTGTCAAACTTCACAGGGCGGCCCTCAGCATCGAACACGAGAACCTGTGGGCTAGCCATAGGAACAGTAGAAATAGCAGCAGTAGCGGTAGGAGAAGCAGGTAGGACGAACCAGGTAGGGCAGGGCGGCGCGGCTCGGGTCAGGTCGGGTCGCGGCTCGGCTGGGTGGCGCGGCTCGGCTCGGGGCGCGCGGCTCGGCTCAGGTCACGGCGGGGACGGGCCGCCCGCTCTCCCTCTTGTGCTGCAGCGGGAACGGGCCGCCCGGGGCCTCTGGGTGGTGGGCACGGGTCGGCGAGGTAGGCACGGGGCCGGTTGGGGCCCTAGAGAGGCAAGCGCGGGGCCGATCGGGGCCTGAGCGGGGCTAGCGCGGGGCCAAACGGGGCCTTGACGGGGCTAGCAAGGGGCCGACGGGGCCTGAACGGGGCTAGCGCGGGGCCGACGGGGCCTGAAACGGGGTCGAAGGGGCCTGAAACGGGGCTAGCGCGGGCCCGATCGGGGCCTGAATGGGGCTAGCGCGGGGCCGACGGGGCCTGAGAGGGGCTAGCGCGGGGCCTACGGGGCCTGAGACGGGGCTAGCGCGGGCCGACGGGGCCTGAAACGGGGCTAGCGCGGGCCGACGGGGCCTGAGAGGGGCTAGCGCGGGGCCGACGGGGCCTGAAACGGGGCCGACGGGGCCTGAAACGGGGCTAGCGCGGGCCGACGGGGCCTGAGAGGGGCTAGCGCGGGGCCGACGGGGCCTGAAAAGGGGCCGACGGGGCCTGAAACGGGGCTAGCGCGGGTCGACGGGGCCTGAGAGGGGCTAGCGTGGGGCCGACGGGGCCTGAAACGGGGCCGACGGGGCCTAAACGGGGCTAGCGCGGGGCCTGAACGGGGCCTTAAAGGGGCCGACGGGGCCTGAACGGGGCTAGCGCGGGGCTGTCAAGAGGGGCCTCTAGGGGCGTGACACGTCGAGGCGCCCTAGGGCACGGGTAGGTAGGTAGGTAGGTAGTTACGTAGTGGTGGGCCCTTAGAAAATTTCGGTCCTAGGAAGGACCTGCTCTATACCATGTTGGAATCACTGAACAGGAATGAATGAACTAGCAATGAAAAGAGTACAAGTACCTAACCCTAGAATTGTGTACCCCCTGCAGTAACCAGCATGGAGATGAGCCGTCCAAATACGAGGACCTCTCATGTTCCTCATCGTCGCCCTTCGTGGGGGTCACTCCGTGCCCTGTCTCTCTCGCTTCATTCAATTTCTTCGCCAGATACTAGTGCTGGAACCCTTGTTTCAGACTCTCCATCCTCGTCCTCGCAAAACCCGTGCTCGGCAGACTCAATGGTAGCCACAGACGCTGCCGCCGAATCGCCCGACGATGATGACGAGACAGATCGATGGCCTGCTTCAGACGCTTTGACCGGCCTGGACTTTCTTAGATCATTCTTACCGACGCATGTCCCATCGAATACTCCACCTTCGCAACCTAGCTCTAGCCGTCCTCCGGTTTTCGTGCAACCTGAACCCCTGCCCACGGCCGTCACTGAACCAGTCACAGTTGCGCCACATTCTGTGCCCCATGAGGCGTCCCCTGAAGCTCCGTCCCGTCCCGCACCACCGACGAAGCTGCGGTACCGACAGACTACGTTTCCGTGGGCAGCTCCTCCTCCTCCGTCGACCGTTGAAGCTCCCGCGAGAGTCGAATCTCCCATGCAAGGCAGCTCGAAGCCCACCGACAAGTCTGACTCCGACAAGTTGGAGTTGAAATACGAAGAAGCTCACTTTCGTTTTAAAACAAATTGGTCTACCGATTACGAGTGGCTTATTCTAACCAAAACCTCTTCCGGTGTGCCGAGTTTTAAGTGCAGCATATGCGTGGAGTTTGCAGGACTTACACGCAAGTGTGGACGGGGTGGTGAGGGCGCGACCGACGTGCAGACGCAGGCCTTCAAGAAGCATGAAGACACGGTGAAGCATCGTTTTGCACCGAAGCGGCAGGAGGACCTCCTCCAGAAGTATGGCCATCAGCGGCGCGTCGACCTACATCCGAAAGCGCAGGACAAGGAGATGTTGCAGATCTCGGCGCTAGTGGAGTCGCTGTACTTCATGAGCTCGTGCAACGAGCCCATGGACGCTTGGATTCAGCTTGTGCGCTACCTGGCGAAGAAGAAGGTGCCCGGGTTTCCAGAGCAGGGCTACGGCACGTACTACAATACGTAAGTTTCTTGCGGTTGTGTCCACCGAGTCCGTGGTTTCCTCTATTACACAGTGTCTAACTGCCTGTGTATTTATTCCTGCACAGGTACGGCTTCGGGGAATTAACACAGGCAATTTCAACATGGCTCCAAACAACACAACTAGATCACCTTCTGACGAGCCCCTTTATCGGGATCACTCTGGACGAGAGCACAGACCGGCGGCGCGGCAAACACATGATCGTGTTTGCAACCTTTCTGCGCGACAAACAAGTTGTGACTGAGTCCTTTGCTCACCTCACGGTTGAGAAAGTTGACGCTGCATCCCTGTGTAGTTTGCTGCTTTCCCACATCAGGGCTATCGGCGTGGACCTCCGCCGTATTTCAGGAGTGAGCACGGACGGCGCGATGGTGATGGTGAGGACCCACAACGGTGTGGTTGCTCGACTTCGGATGCTCATCCCCAACTTAATTTCGTTCCACTGCATTGCTCACATGTGCGTTGCTGTTTTTTTGTTTGTTTAGTCGTTTTACAGTAATATGCGATGCTAATCTTGTTTGTTTGTACGTGTTGCAGGGAGGCTTTGGCTGCCAAAGCCGCTGCAGAGGCAATACCCACTTTCAACATGGTCGACGACGTCATCCGCGCCGTCGCTGAGTACCTGGGGCGATCATCACCGTGGCATCAACGGTTCATGGAGCTACTGGAGGTATTTACCTCCACCAACCTCGAGGTGCAAGGGATCCACGAGGTGCGGTGGCTTTCAAGGGGTACTGCGGTCGCCCACTTCGTCGAGGTCCTCCCAGCCATCATGGTGATGCTGTCAGAGTGGAAGGACCAGACGATGTACGAGCTCGTCACGTCCTACCGGCTTCAGTTCCTGCTTCGGTTCCTGGCGGACGTTCTGGACCTCCTCAACATCCTCTCAAAGGTTTTCCAGCATCGTGAGGTAAGAAAGTTGAGTACTTTGTGTTTTTTTTCTTTTAACCAGAAACCGTGCTCTAACAAAAACTTCTTTTTGATGTGGCAGCTCGACTACCCATTGGTGCACACACAGATTGTGCGCACAACATCTCTCCTGGAGAGTCGGTACATCGACTGCGAAGAACACTTTGGCGGCGGGCCTAACGAGCGGCTTCATCGATTCATCGAGAAGCATGGGCTGAAGGGGACACCAGAGATGGTGGTGGAAGGCGCGTCGTCGGATGGGAGTCTCAACCTCTTCAAGATCACCCTTCACGAGCGCCGAGTGGCGAACTATCTCGGGGCGGGCCATCACGATGCGTGTGTGGCGCTTTGCACCGACTTTGCCGAGGGCCTCGTCGAGGAGCTTCAGTCTAAGCTCGGAGACCTCGACTCTCTTTCTGGCGTGCGGCTTTTCATACCTGACGAGTGGCCTCCGAATTGGGAGAGGAGCGCACGGCAGGCACAGTGCCTTGAGTGGCTGTTGTCGCTAGTCACTCTGTTCCGCGCCGACGACTGCGACGAGATTTTGCCAGGTCAGTTAATGATGTGATGCTCGTTCGCCTGTTGGCTAAACCGTCCCGTACTAATTTCTCGCCATGTCTTATGTTGCAGGCATTGACAAGAAGCGTGCCGTGAAGGAGCTGCGGACTTAGTGCCCAGTCCTGGCCAGAGCTCCTAAGAGCGAGCGCAAGTTCAACACGGGATTGACTGCAATCCTCAAGACACCTGACTGGGAGCAAGCCTGCCCCAACCTCGTCATACTCTGGGTGGCGATTGCAGTGCTGCCTCTCAGCACCGTCGAGTGCAAGAGGGGATTCTCTCGCCAGAATCTCATCAATACGTGGCAGAGGGGTAGTTCAAAAGAATGTAGGCTCAGTGACTTGCTGTGTATGTCTATGCTACCGGTAGACTATGAGCTGGACGTGCCCGGGGTTGTAGAGATATGGCACAACTACAAGAAGCGCCGGCCAGTGATGGCACCTGCTGCAAGGCACAGGGAGCCCCAGAGAGCTGGGAAGGAGGCTGCAGAGGAGCTAGTAGTTCAGCCGACAGCTGTAGAGTCACATGTGATAGAATCTGACTCAGATAGTTGAAATGTTTTTAGGCGCAGTATACAAAACCGGCAGCCTTTAAACTTAGGGCGTGTTCCTACAGCCCCTTATCAGGTGACCTCTTGTCAGACTTGTGCGGTTCAATGCGATTCAACGCGATCGAATTTTATTATGCGCGTTTCAGTGCGGTGCGACGCGAATCTGACAAGAGGTTCGCCTGATAAGAGGCCGTAGGAACACGCCCTTAGTGTAACTCTGAACTTTCAGCCAAAAAAAACTAGTGTTGTCTGAACTTTCAGACTCAAAATCGCATGCAACTCTGACTGACAGAGTTTAGACGAGGGTCCACTCCGACCCATCAGCGTGTCCTAAAATGAATCTTGGGCCCTGCTGAAGGCAGTCAGTTATTTTCCCATGCGCCAGATGGTCGGTCTCCCAGAGGTGTTCCATCCCATCCTATCATGCACCTCCAAAGCGGGGAATTCCTAAACAACGGTCCCTCCCTCCGTTTATGGCAATAGGGAAGTGCATGGATAGAGTGGGGTCAAACCTTCTTGACCCACTCCATGAACGTCAGGTTGCAAGGCTCAAGCGGGCCAGCAGCATCAGCTGTTGGCAGACACCTCGCTGGGCATTGCCACGCCCTCCACCTGCTGCTCTCGCCTCCTTGCTGCACCCCACGACTCGCCCCCCTCACTGCGCGCCTGCCAGCGCTGTGTGCGGGAGTGTCTGAGCCCTGCCAGCTGTGAGTGCCACTGCTGCCGCCACGCCGCCTTCACCTCCAGCTGTTGCGGGGGGCATGGGATACGGCGCATTGGGATTGGGATTGCAGCGCCAATGCTGCGCGGGGCTGTGGACGGCACTGTGATGCAGGCCGTGAGCATGGGGCAAGAGTGATGCAGGCAAGCAGGAGAACGGGCTGGCAGTGCAAAACGGGTGGAGAGGGAAGCAGTGAAGGATGACGTGCATGCTGCGCACACCACCTCACACTGTCAGCCACAGCGCACAGCATGGACAGGAGCGTGCTGGGGATGGCCGCTGCACGCATGGCAGCACTGCCACCTCGACCTGCCATGCTTGCACTACGCATCACCCACCCTCCCACCCTCCCTCCCTCCCTCCCTCCCTCCCTCCCTCCCTCCCTCCCTCCCTCCCTCCCTCCCTCCCTCCCTCCCTCCCTCCCTCCCTCCCTCCCTCCCTCCCTCCCTCCCTCCCTCCCTCCCTCCCTCCCTCCCTCCCTCCCTCCCTCGCTCGCTCCCTCGCTCCCTCGCTCCCCTCCCTCCCTCCCCTCCCTCCCCTCCCTCCCTTCCCTCCCTCCCTCCCTCTCTCTGCCGCCCATCTGCGTGAGCGCCACTTGCCTCACCTGCTCCTCCACGCCGTCCCACATCGCCTGCCCCATCCACGGCCGCCGCATCCCGTGCCGCCACCGCGTCGCCGTCCTCATGCCCAAGGCCCCATGCCGTGCGCCCGCCACCAGCGGGTGCAGCAGCTCCCAGTCGTACCGCGCGCGCTGCTGCGGGTTCGACAGCACGTCGTACGCGCGCTGCACGGCGATGAACCGCCGCGTGCTCTCCGCCTCGCTCAGCCCCGCCGCGCGACTGTCAGGGTGGTAGCGCCGCGCCTCGCGCCGGTACGCCACCTTGATGTCGTGCATGGACGCGTCGCGCCGCGCCAATCCCAGCACGTCGTACAGCGTCGTGCCCGCTGCGGCAAGCCCTTCCGCCCACTCCGCTGGCACCCCGCCGCGCGGGTCAGACGCAGACGCGCGGGGTGCACGAAAGGTCCCCGTGGTGGGGCGCGCGGGGATACACAGCAGTCGGAGAAAGGGCGCGCCGCCAGGCGGACGAATAGGCAGTGTGGGTGCGACGGCGAGGCGGCAGGGACACGGCAATTGATGAGGGCGAAGGGAGACGAGACGAGTCGGAGAGAAGGCTGGCCATAGAGCATTGGAGGGCGCGCGCGCGCACACATGCAGTGCGGTGGTGGGGAAGAGAGACTGCGACGAGGAAGGCGGGAGAGGAGGGAGAGGGCACTGCGGCGAGCAATGCCCTCTCAGCGCCATGGCCTGAAATGCGAGGGCAGTGCACGACACTTGACAGGGTGGAGAGCAGCAGCTACCACAACTTGCGGCGGGTATACCATTCCCTGCCAGGCGCTAGACTGGTGTGTCCGCACATGCTGCTCCCGCACCCGCCCTGCTCTCTGTGAGCTGTAAACCAGAGCACTCAGAGTGCAACTTCAGTGGCATCATTTGCTCGATCCATTGCGCTTGTACGGTAAAAGTTGTAGATATGTAAGGAAAATCTCTTTTTCCTTACTTCGCGTCCCTGCTCAACGCGTACATCACTGTAGCACCACAGTCAGCACCGTTACCACTCGCAATCCTCGCATCGACAATCCGCCCGCCACCTTCGCACGTCGCACCCCGACCTCACGGCTCGGCGGGTAACCCGCGCTCCGGGCCTCCGCTTCGACACTTTTCCCAACCTCAGTCCCAGGCCCGTCGCGCGACAACCACAGTGCATTACCGTTACCACTGTAGTCTCGCTATATATTCTTCGCTCATGCCTTCGCTCATTGTACTCTTGCTTCGATAGTGCAATTCTCGTTCGTTCACTCAATTGCACTCGTAACACTTGGTATTCAGAGCCTACGACCTCTTCTCTGACCGCACCCACACCTTCGCTTCCCCACTATCTCAATTTTTGGGGGGGGTAGACGTCCCTCAGCGACACAGCACCGCCGCTCGTAGTGCTCTCTCGTAAGCACGCACGGCCACGACTGAGGCTCTCGCTGAGCTCGCCCGACACCCCCGCCATGGCCGAATTCACGCTCGCCACATTGACGCAGGAGCAGCTCGACCGTCTGGTGCGCCAACTCGAAGATTCGGCGCTCGAAATTGCGATGCTCACAGCGGAACGTGACTCCGCGCGTCAGCAATCAACGGTGAACACTCCAGCAGCACCACACGCACCAACAAATGCACCTGCACAATCGGACGAGCCAATCGTCATCTCGTCCGGGACACCAACACAACACGACAGCGTGGGACAGCGCTCGGGCACAGCCAGTGATAGCTTCGCCCAACCAATGCCTGGCATGGGAGGAAACAGGGGCGCGCCAAGCCCGCGGGAGCCTCGCGAAGCCCGTCGGCACGTGGAGTTCGCGGCGACAAGTGGCGAACAGGCCATCATGCCACTCAAGCCGCGACGCCCGCCCTGTTTCGACCCGAGCCAGCGTGGAGGTCCGACGGTTCAATCGTGGGTTTTCACGATGAACGTCTTCTTCGACGCGAATTACGTCGAGTCGGACGCAGCGAAGATTCGGTATGCCGTTTCGCTGTTAAGGGGCCCCGCCATGGACTGGTGGCGAGTCATCGTGACGTCGCCACGCGCCTACGAGCCACCGTCGCAAGAGGAAGGGCCCACGGGTCCATCGTGCGAACAGCACGGGTGTTTTCGAAAATAGACTTACGGGGGGGTTACCATCAGATTCGGGTCGAACCATCGGACTGCGCCAAGACAGCATTTAGGACTAGGTACGGGTCGTTTGAGTACACGGTGATGCCTTTCGGGCTGACCAACACGCCCGCAACATTTCAGATGACCATGAACGAGGTGTTTAGGCCATTCTTAGATAAATGCGTGATAGTTTACCTCGACGACATCCTCGTCTACAGTCGCGACAAGCAGCAGCATTTAGCGGATCTCGAAGCAGTATTTAAAGTTTTAGAGGAACATGGGTTACTCACCAAGGGCTCTAAGTGCGAGTTTTTTCGGGACAAACTAGAATTTTTGGGGCACGTTATTTCGGAGGCTGGAGTTGAAATCGACCCACAGAAGCTGGATACCGTAAAAGCGTGGCGTCCCCCGACGAACATCACGGAACTGCAGAGTTTTTTAGGGTTCGTTAATTATGTTCGTCGGTTCGTCCCCAACATGGCACAGTTGACTGCCCCGCTGACGGATTTACTGCGAAAGGGGGTCGTTTTTACGTGGGGGGAGAAAGAGCATGCTGCCTTCTCTGCCCTGAAAAATGTTCTCTGTTCACCGCCCGTCCTGCGCATCGCCGACCCACACCGCCCCTTCGAGGTTGTTACAGACGCAAGCGACATCGCCATTGGAGCCGTACTGCTACAGGACTTCGGCAACGGCCTACAGCCCATCGCATATGAGTCACGAAAATTGCATCCGCCCGAGTGAAATTACCCGATACACGACCGCGAAATGCTCGCGATCGTGCATGCGTTCAAAGTGTGGCGCTGCTACTTGACCGGCGCAGACGTGACAGTACGGACAGACCACCGATCACTACAGTACCTCCGCGCACAGCCCCACCTCAACCCACGACAGATTCGGTGGCTCGATTTCCTCGAGTCAAACTTCCACTACACAGTCACCTATAAAAAAGGAGCCTTGAACATAGCCGACGCACTGACCCGCCCCACTGCCCAGATCCACGCGATACTACTCGCCCAGACCAGCCCGCTACTGACAAGACTATTTACCCACGGATATCAAACGGACGCATTCTTCACAGGAGGAAATTCGCAGCAGTTCGCAGCAGCCAAGGGAGTCTATTACGTAAAAGCCGGGACCGACCGCATCTGGGTACCAGGGTACACACTGCTACGGGAATTACTATTACAGGAGGCACACGACGGGGTTACCTCGGGACATTTCGGGGTAGAGAAAACACGGCAGCAGCTGCAGCGGTATTATTACTGGCCCGAAATGTTGACCGACGTGCAGCGACACGTGGCATCGTGTCCCACTTGCCAGATCATGAAGTCAACACGGAAGCGGCCGGCGGGACAGTTGCAGCCAATCCCACCTCCAGAGCGTGCTTGGCAGCAGGTGACGATGGACTTCGTCACGGGGTTACCGGCCGGGGCGAGTGGAAATGACGCGATCCTGGTCGTCGTCGATCGACTGACGAAAATGGCACACTTCGCAGCCTGCAAAAAATCAATCACAGCCGAAGAAACAGCCCGCCTCTTCATCTCTACCGTCGTTCGACTGCACGGGATACCAGCATCAATCATCAGCGACAGAGACACGAAATTCACCAGCAACTTCTGGCGGAACCTGTGGCAGCAGTTCGGCACGCGACTACAGTTTAGTTCATCGTACCACCCCGAAACAGACGGACAGACAGAACGGACAAATCAGACCATGGAACAGCTCATCCGGGCCACGTGCGACGACCCAAACACGTGGGAACAGCAACTGCCACTCATCGAATTCGCATACAACAACGCCCCATCCGCCACGACCCAACAGTCACCGTTTTACCTGAATTACGGACAAGACCCAACAGTACCCATGACCCCGAATCCCGACAACCTGGTTCCACGCGCGCAACAGTTCGCCGAAATTTTGCAAGCAGCACGGACCAGGGCAGCAGACGCAATTAAAAAAGCTAACATCATCGCTAAACGCAACGCCGACCGCCACCGCAAACCTGTCACTTACCAGCCCGACGACTTAGTTTTGCTCGACACCCAAAATCTCCGACTGCCCATCACCCCGAAACTCCGCCCCCGATACTGCGGGCCATTTCGCATAAGCCACATGCTTACACCTGTCACCGCCCACCTCCTCCTCCCTGCTGACTGGTACTTCAGCCCCTCGTTCCACGTCAGCCTGCTTCGCCCTTACGTCCCGTCCACGAGCCAACTGCCACGCAATCGCCCAGCCAGCATGACAAGACCACCGACTGAACCAATCATCACCCCCGAGAAAATCCTGAGTCACAGAGTTCGCGACCCTCGAGGAGCCCGAAGGATCGAGTTCTTACTCCGCTGGAAGGACTGTACACCCACTGAAGACAATTGGGTTCCCCTGGACAGAATCGAAAACCACCCCGTCCTCACCGAGTATCTGCGCAGCCGGAATTTCAGGGATGTACACGCACTTTCGTAAGGAGGACCTCCTTAAAGCTCGCGTCTCAGATTTCCAACCTTTTAACACTTGGTTGGGTTTTCCCGTCTGTGATTGGGTAACGAATGACGAATTATTTGACGAGTGGGTGAAAAAAACACAGCGAACTCCCAAACAGTCGAGGCCAAAACAAACCAGGGTGGGTTGGTTTGGGTGGAAAACGAGCCAAGGGGGACAGGTTTGGTCCCGGGTTCTGTCAACGTTGAGTTCAGAGTCTCATATTTTCGAGAGTTGTTAACACTTGGTGTGCACGGGGAAGTGTGCGACAGCCAACTTTCCCAAACCACCCCTTGCTTTGGTGTGCTTTGCGACAAACTCTGCTGTTACTGGATTCCAACCGTTTAACACTTGGTTGGATGGCAGAAATATGAGACGCGAGCTTTAAGGGGGGGGGGTAGTGTAAGGTAAGGAAAATCTCTTTTTCCTTACTTCGCGTCCCTGCTCAACGCGTACATCACTGTAGCACCACAGTCAGCACCGTTACCACTCGCAATCCTCGCATCGACAATCCGCCCGCCACCTTCGCACGTCGCACCCCGACCTCACGGCTCGGCGGGTAACCCGCGCTTCGGGCCTCCGCTTCGACACTTTTCCCAACCTCAGTCCCAAACCCGTCGCGCGACAACCACAGTGCATTACCGTTACCACTGTAGTCTCGCTATATATTCTTCGCTCATGCCTTCGCTCATTGTACTCTTGCTTCGATAGTGCAATTCTCGTTCGTTCACTCAATTGCACTCGTAACAAGATACCTGAGAATGCTTATCCTGCTCCTACACCAGCAGCCTCCAAAATGAGGGATACTCATGACTGCCTCAAATTGGACACAGGCGGACATCCAGCTAGTCTATTCAGTAATTACTATCTTGCTACTCGCACCCACCCTATCTCCCGCACGTGTGGCGACAAGCAGAGGGGACTCCATTGATGCGCGTGCGAAGCATAAGCAAGCTTGGAACCTCGGCCCCATGGCCGAACATCACCACATTTGTTTGAAGCACCACGACAGCATCCCCCTCCCCCCCTGCCACTCCAAACACCCCCAGGCATTGACGGTGTCATTGCGAGTCGTCGAGGCGCATGCGCTCCGCCAGCTTGGCGAGGCCGGTGTCGCGCGTCCACGCAGGGGGGATCCAGTCGCCGTCCTTGACGAGCTTGCCGCACGGCTCCAGCGCTTGCACGGGCAGGTCGGGGAAGCGCCCCAGGCGCACCTCCTCTGTGTCCAGATGTGTGCCGCCCGCCCGTGGCTCCAGCACACGGTGCTCCTGACAGCAAGGGACACCCACGGGGCACACATGGGTGAGCGGCGTGCAGGGGGCGAGGGGGTGAGTGGGACATGGGGAGGCAGCGGTAGCACTGCACGTTGGCCTAAGGTGGCGCCAACACACAGCACCTCACATGTCCTTCACACCCCTTGTGGTGCAAATGAAAGCAGGCAGGTGGCAATCTCACGTGAGTCGTATTAGATGAGAGTACCACAGCACATGAAACCATGCCTCAATCACTCTGCAACCCAACCAATGCCATGCACGCATGCAGCAGTGCAGCGCGAGCGGCAAGGCATGAGGGCATACCGCAATCATGGATGTTTTGCGCGGGTCCACCATGTACTTGCGGCTGCCCTCGTTGCCCAGGCACAGGTTGCGGTTGGTGTGCAGGGTGGTGTTGGAGCACGTGGGGTGCGGGTCGCAGAACACCATGCGCTCCACCTCCCACCCATTGAACTCCTCACCCTCGGGTGGCGCCGCACACCGCTCCGTGAAGTATCGCACTGACCCCACCGTCAGGAACGTGGACCGCTGGGGGACAACGGGGGGGGGGGGGGGGGGGGCACGCGCATGCCAATTGTGGCACCATGGGGCAACAGGCGTGAGCGGTGGGGCACAGTGAAGTGAGCGGGGAAAGCAGTGCGGGCTACAAACTTGATGTGGGGTTAGGAAGCGGTTGTGTGGGGTGTTTGAAGAGGCACCTTGTGCTTGTGGAGCGTGGCGTGGATGGAGTGCGGTGGTGCCGTGACATAGAGGTACTCGTCCACGTCCAGGAACAGCGCCCACCGCGCCGTCGTGCGCGCAAAGTAAAGACAGTCGTGCGCCGCTAGCAGCTGCGCTCCCATAGGGAAGGGCGTGCAGGTGGGGGAGGGAAGAGAGGTGCAGGGAGAGGGAGAAGGGAGGTGATGGGGACGAGTCATGCGTGGGATTTGGGGCAATGGTTAGGGAAGCAACATAGCGCAAAAATGAAGAGTACACATGGACCTGCACGAGACAAATGCATCGGCCCCAACCCAAGCACAGGTGTGCAAAAGCAATGAGCGCATGCGGCGTGGGACGGGGCAGACCTGGCCGTGCATGAAGGGGTCGTGCTTGGCGGCCATGCGCATGTCGAGCACAGCCAGCAGGCGCTCGTTGACAAACGACTCGGCCACGCCCAGGAAGTCGTCCGTGACGCCCCCCGCGTCGTAGAGCTGGAAGAAGTCGATGCGGTGCACCTTGCGGTGGAACTCCACCCACTGGTACAGGCGCAGCGTGTCGTACTCGCGCTGCAGCGGCGGCGAGCAGTACATCACGTCGTACACCAGCGTCTCCTCCGCCTGCCACCCGCCATCAGGGGTGCGTGCGCGAGGGAGAGGGGCAGATGGAGAGACTAGTACAAGTCAGGAAGGAGAGACGGGTGAAAGGTGTGTGGGAGCGACGAGGAGCAGTGGATGGAGTGGTATGTGATGGGAGCGCAATGGTGTTAGCATGCGCGCAGGAGGGCCCAAGTGTGAGAGGCGTGATGATGCTGCTGCGTTGCACCAGTGCATGCAGTTGGGTGTGCAGGGGGGGGCGGGGGCGACTGACAGCGAACTTGAGCTTGTAGCCGGGGTTGGCGTCCTCCTCGTACACAAGCAGCTCCGCGCCGTTCACACTCATGCGCAGGGCACCGCCCGTGCGCAGGTTGGCCTCCTCCTCCAGGATGCAGAACAGCAGCGCCGCCAACTCCTGGCCCTTGCCACGACTCTTGATCACCGCCGGCCCCAGCGCCATCTCCGCCACGCGCTTCACCGACACGCGCCCCGCCAGCCGCGACCCCTTCTTCGTGCGCCACCTGCACAACCCCCCGCGCCGCCCAGGGGTGGGAACATGGGCGGTGGGTTGCACATGGATGTTTGGAAGAGGTGGAGCATGGCAGGAGATAGTGTGGCGTGACGAGGCACAACGGCCAGCATGCGGGACAGCCCGTCCCAGCACCATAGGTCCCCTGCTGCCATGTGCTCTGCACTGGTCCCGCGACAGAACCTGGCACACAGGGGGTGGTGTGGTGTATCTCCAACCGCATTCCTCGTCCAACTCACAACACCCATAAGGAGTGGCCAGCCATTCCGGTTGCATGCATGCACATCTCACCAGCAGTCAAGGTCGGTGAGCGTGCGGTTGGGGCGGATGTTGCCAATGGCCACAAACGTGTCCATGGTGCTGCGATAGCCGCTGAACAGCAGAAAGTCCATCTGCACAGGTCACACGCACCACAGGCAGCACACTCACTCACACACACACGACACACTCACTCGCACACACACGACACACTCACTCGCACACACACGACACACTCACTCGCACACACACGACAAACTCACTCGCACACACACAACACACTCACTCGCACACACACGACACTCACTCACACACACCACACTCACTCACACACACACGACACAATCACTCACACACACACGACACAATCACTCGCACACACACGACACAATCACTCGCACACACACATGGACAGAACCACGCCCACTCACACAAATACACATGCGCGCGCGCATACACACACCCAAGACCAGACGCAGGGCCCGAGGGCAGACGAAGAAACAGAGAGTGCATGTGAGGTGGCAGAGGGGAGAAACGTGGAGAGTTGGACAGGAACACAAGCGACAGGGGGGACAGGAGTGAGAGCAGCGAGGCATGTGAGAGCAGCGAGGCATGTGAGAGCAGCGAGGCATGTGAGAGCAGCGAGGCATGTGAGAGCAGCGAGGCATGTGGTGGCACCTTGCGTGGTGGCTTCTTGTCTTGTGTGACTGGCCTTCCACCATCTCCAGCATCGCCACTCTCGCCCCCTTGCTTCTGCTGCTCCTCCTGCCCGCCCTCCTCTTGCTGCTGCTGCTCTTGCTGCTGCTCCTGCTGCTGTTGCTGCTGCTGCTGCTGCTGCTGCTGCTCACCCCCCCCACCTTGTGTCCCTCCCCCCTGCTCTTGCACCTGCTGCTGCACCTGCTGGGCTGGTTGCTGCTGCACTTGCTGCTGCTCTTGGGGCTGTGTCTGCTCCACAGGAGCGGGGGGCGGGGGAGAGGGAGGGGGATCAGCAGGGGGTGGGGAGGCCGTGCCAGTGAGCCACGGCAGCAGCCCACCTGCGCGCCACCCCGTTGTTGCAGGGCTGTTGCTGCCCACGCCCACGCCCATACCCATGCCTGCACCCCCGCCCGTGCTTGCGCCTCCCCCTGGCAGCATCTGCATGCGACCTGCTGCTGCTGCCGGGGATGACAGCATGTACCCGCGTTCCCCACCCCACGCGCCCCCCCCTCCCACCCCCCCCACACGCCATGGCTCCACCACCCCAACTCCCCCCGCCCCCCTTGACCCTGTGCCCCACGCCCCTGCCACTGTCCCCTCTCTCCGCCCACTATCTCCCCACTGCGCCCCTGTGCCCGCTCCCTTGCCGTAATACCCCCCTGCCCCTGCGCCCTGCTCCCCATAGGTCCCCCCTCCTTGCGCCCATCTGCCCCTGTCACCCACCTGCCACCCCGCCTGGCCCCCACTGCTGCGCTGCGACCACAGCCCCGCCCCACCTGCGCCCGCCCCTGCTGCCCACGAGCGCTCTTCCCCACCGCGCTGCTGCTGGGACCGCCACCTGCTGTCCTCTGCGCCCTCCCCCTCACCCCCCTTGCGCCCATACCCATCTCCACGCTGCCACAGCCTGTCCCTCCCCACTGCCCCTTTAAACCCCTCCCCTTCCTCCCCGTACTCCCCCCTGCCCTCATGCCCCCGTCTGCGCCCCCCTTCCTCTGTTTTCTTGGACCGCAGGGCCCAAGCACCCCCACGCCCCCGTTCGCCCTCCCCCTCCTCTTCCTCCTCGTCCTCCTCGTCCTCCTCGCCTCGCCGTCTCCTGTCCTTGCGCGTGCCCTGCTGCTCCTCGTCCGCCCTCGCGCCCACCTTGCCCCTCGCCCTGCCCCTCGCCTTGCCCTTGCGCCGCAGCGACGAGTCAGTCGCGTGCAATGCACTGACCGGGGAAACACGGGGCAGTTGGGTCGGGGGCGACAGGGGAAAGGAAGCGGAAAGGGGTGAAAGCAAGGCATGACATGTGGTATGAGGCATGCGGGTACAAGGAGGGTAGGCTATGACATAGCGCAGTCACGGCATGCATGGCAGTAGGACAGCATGGCAGGTTGTTCCGTAATCGCCTCCCCCTCACCCTGCTCGCCGCCCTGCCACTGCCTTCCTGCTGCCTCTCCTCGTCGCGCCCCCTGCTCGCCTGCCCGTGTCCTCCTCCTCGCGCTCCTCCTCGTCCGCCTCCTCCTCCTCCTCCTCCTCCTCCTCCTCCTCCTCGTACTCGTCCTCCTCGTCCCCCGACCTCTCCCATGCGCCCCGCGCCTTCTTCCCGCCCTTGCCACGGCCCTTCTTCTTCCGCGCCGCCCATGCGCCATGCCCTCGCGCCACTGCTCTCCCCTTCACACCCTCCTCCTCCGCCTCTTCCGCCTCCTCGCCCTCCTCGCTCTCCGCCCCAACACTACGACCCCCCCTCGCTGTCCGCCGCGCCCTCACCGCCCCCTCCCTGCCCACCTCCCCAACCCCCTGCGCCTGCCCGCCACTCGCCAAGCCCGCTGCCACCACCACAGGCGCGGGCGGAAGGGGAGGTGGAGGGGAGGGGGCCGGGGGAGGTGGGGAGGGCGGCGGGGATGTGGCTGGAGGGGAAGGGGGCGGAAGGGAAGGGGGTGGCGAGGCGGGGGGGGGAGGGGAGATAGTGGGCGGGCGGATGGATGGGGGCGAGGGGAGTCCGAGGGAGGACGATGCGGAGGAGGCGGCAGACGGCAGGCGGATCTCAGCATCGGCGCCAGTCGCGGCACCCATGGCCGCGGTAGAGGCGTCTAGAGTCTTGTCCACGTGGCAGGATATGTCGCTGCGGTTCACACGCAGCACGAGGAGAGATAGAGAAAGAGAGAGAGAGAGAGAGAGAGAGAGAGAGAGAGAGAGAGAGAGAGAGAAGAGGGGGGGGAGAGAGAGGGGGGGTGGAGAGAGGGGGGGAAGGATGGACGAGGTTAGAAAGCGGAACGGGAAGGACATGGCGAGGTGGTGCGCGACACAGCAACGAGGGCGGCACGGCAACGCAGCCGTGGCGCGGCAGGGAGGAGCCAGACGCACGGCCCATGCGTGCGCAGTGGGAGGCGTGGCAGCGGCGTGAGGGCCGTGCGCAAGCCGTCGCCCTTCCACCCCATGCTCGCGCCTCTCGCTTCTTCTCACCCCTCAACCGCTCCACCAAGCCAAATGTCCGCCACCGTCGCAACGCGCCACCCGCCCGCATGAGACCAGGCCCGGCCGCCCGCCTGGCTAAGCTGGCGGTACGCGCGGTACGCTGGGTGCGGCGAGCAGTGGCCTCGCCTCGTTGGGCGCTACCGGCGGCATCGCCGCGACGGCACCACCGACACGCGCGCTGGCGATGGCCGATGACTCGTCTCCGCTGGAACGACGGCGCCGCGAGCAGCACGCGAGGCCGTGACAGGCCGCGTCGCTCACATGCAAATGCGGAGCGCGCAGGTGGACGTGGTGAGCGGGAGCGTGGGTGGGGGGCGATGGCGGGCGCGCACCTGTAGAGCATGCTGACGATGATGATGTTGGTGATGGTCAACACGATGATCGGCAGCTGGTGGTACATCCACGCCGGCGACTTGCCGCCGCCGCCACCGCTCGATGCGCCGCCGCCAGTGCTGCTGCTGGTGCTGCCTCGGCCGCGGTACGCACTTCGCGACGACGCTGCGGCCGTCACCCGAGCCATGGCTGCACGCGCGACGCACCGCTATGCACGGCTCCTACACGCGGTGGAGAGGCGGCGAGTCGATCCGTGTGACGGGAGGTGGCATGCGCCCGTCACATCTTGACGGCGAGCGCGCGGATCCACATGCGCGACGAATGCGGCATCACGGACGCGACGGTGAAGGACACGTTGGGGCGTGGGAGTGAGGAGATTGGGGGGACGGAGAAGGAGGGGGCTGTCGATGGTGCGAATGTCAGCAGGTGAATCGCAGCTACTTGGTGGTCTGGTCTGTTAGGCTTTAGTGGCCTGGGAATGCGGACACGCTTTCAAGCCTAAGTTACGCGTGTTGAAGTCAAGACGATTGGTTCGTTGAGATGAGAAATGCGAGGGGAGCAATGCTGTGGAGTGAAAGGGCAGCAACAGGGCAGATTGAAGATGCCCCACCACCACCGCCGTCCCTCCATGACCTCTCGTACTCTCGCTGCCCTTCGTTTGCAGGGTGAGCTTGGGGTGGTTACCATAAGCCTTGAGCTTTCGTCTGCCATATGAGTAGGTGGCGGACCCACCAGGTTTGACAGCTTCATCAGTGCTGCTGAACGCTGATGGGTGGGTGAGCCTGCCAGGATGTTGGGGGGTTTGGGCTGGCTTTGAGGTGACGTACAGCATCGGCTGGGAGTTGTCCCTGAGCGTACGCTTTACTGCCCGTACGCTTTACCATTAATGAACGTCTTGGGCTACGAGAATTGTTATAAGCTGTTCAACAGAGTTGTGCGGAATAACCAATATCGAAGTTGTGACAATATTTATGAATGGCCCAGGATCATTTAACGAGTTACCCTAACTAGGCGAGGAACCTTGGGAACGTAGGTTGGGTGCAGATTGGGCAATGGAAACCCGAAGGCGACGCGAGGTACCTTTGGTGTCGATGAAATTGGCCGAATGTGCACTTCCTGTCAAGTTATATGTTTACTGTTATCTAGGCTGTAGTGGGTTTAGCCTTAGGGGGTACAGTAAGTTGCTCGACCTTGTATCCCCCTCCTTGCCCTAATCCACATCATTCCTTCCTACCTATCTCAACATGGTATTAAGAGCTAGGACGTTCCTAGCCTAGGACCTAAAAGTTTAAGGGCCCACCGTTAGTTTACTGCCCGTCGTGCGCCCCTAGGGCGCGATCGTTTTTTCTGTCCGTGGCGCGCCACTAGACCTACCCGCCAGAATCGTCCTGCCCCGCACGTGCACTGCCCTGCGCCTAGCGCTCGAGCTGACCCTCGAGCTGCCCTGCCCCGCCCGCGATCGCGCTGCCCTACGCCCTACCAGCGACCCGCACCCGCGCTACCCTGCCCTGCCCTGCCCTACCGCGCGCAGCCCGTACCGCCCACGCGCAGCCCGCCGCGCAGCCAGTACAGCCCGCGCGCCGCCCGCGCGCACCCCGTACAGCCCGCGCGCAGCCCGTGCACCCTGCGCCAGGCCCGCGCGCAGCCCGTATGACCCGCGCCAGGCCCGCACGCACCTGCTCTGCCGCGCGTGCACCTGCACTGCCCCTGCGCTTCGCCGGCGCACTGCCCTGCTGCCCTGCTCTTGCTGCACTACTGCCTTGCTGCCCTGCTGTTACTGCAATACTGCCCTGCTGCGCTGCTGCTGCTATTAAGTTGCTGCTGCCGCCTGCACTGCTGCTGTTGTTAAGCTGCTGCTGCCGCCTGCGCTGCTGCTGCTGTTAAGCTACTGCTGCCGCCTGCGCTGCTGCTGCTGCTGCACTGCTGCTATTGCCATGCGCTGCGCTGTTGCTCTGCACGCGCGGCTGCCCTGCCCTGCTCCGCGTTGTTGCCCAGCACGCGCGGCTGCCCTGCCCTGCTCCGCGCTGTTGCCCTGCACGCGCGGCTGCCGTGCCTTTGCTGTTGCACTGCTGCTAACCCGCCGCTGCTGCTCGAGCCGCCCTGTTGAGCCAAGCCGCTCCGTGCATTAGTGCTGCCCTGCCCCCTGCACTCGTGCCGCTGCTGCTGCTGCTACTAGGCTGCTGCTGCCACCTGTGCTGCTACTGCTGCGCTGCTCCTACTACTCAGCTGCTGCTGCTGCTAGGCTGCTACTGCCGCCTGCGCTGCTGCTACCACCTGTGCTGCTGCTGCTGCGCTGCTGCTGCTGCCGCCTGCGCTGCTGCTACTGCTGCGCTGCTGCTACTGCTCAGCTGCTACTGCTGCTAGGCTGCTGCTGCCTGTCGGAGGATGGTAGCCTCCACCTCCTGCACCTGCATGCCTCACTTGTTCCTTCTCTTGCCCCTGACTTCCTGGGGGTGATTTGATTGTTGCTTAGGTACTTCCTGTCTCTGCACTAGAAAACTGAGCTAGGGTTTCGTGAGTCCACACGAGTAACTCGGCTGACTGCCTGCTTGGAGTGGCTCCTCGGTAGCAAAACGGCTTCTGAGTCATTAGCTAACATGTGAGGAAACAAACAAGCAAGCAGGCCTTCCATGCCTGCGGTTTTCCTAAGTAGGACCACGCTTACCGTTGCTCTTGGTCCGTTGCACTTAGCCACAGTGTTCCCGCTAGGCTCGGCGTCGCTCCTGTTTCTGGCATCGCGTATGCTTTGGCGGATGTTCCCCGCCTCATCCTCTCTACTGGGCTCACTCATTATTTTCCTACAGTACTCTAATTCTGTTACGCAAGTTCATATGGCTACCTAGGTGCTATCTACCATTATCTAGCCTTATTAATTGCGTGACAGCTGTCAGAAGATGGCAGCCTCCACCTCCTGCACCTGCATGCCTCACTTGTTCCTTCTCTTGCCCCTGACTTCCTGGGGGTGATCTGATTGTTGCTTAGGTACTTCCTGTCTCTGCACTTGCCCCCTCCTCGGCCCCTCCCAGAGGTGCCGATGGATGCCCTAGAGACCCTGCCCCCTCCTCAGTCAAGTTGCGCTTGTCGTCTTCGCTTGGCCGCGGCTACGTTGGTAATGTGATCCCGCCTCTCTTCCCCCTTCTCGCTGACTAGCACGATCACTCCCGAGTCTTTCACCTCCTTCACGCGCCATCGTACGGTTGTCAATCCGATGTCTAGCAGGTCCTTCTTTGCCTGCCTAAGATAGACCTCTCCTCCCTCTCGGACCTCCTTGTCCCTCAACTTCGGTTGCCCTAGTCCCCTCTGGCGGTACCTCTGCACGTCCCTCAGTTGAGCTACGTGCAGGTTCTCCAATGCAGCTGGCAGCAGTTCTCGCAGGTAATTTGCCCGTGCCTCTGGCACGGCCACCCACTTTTCCTCTATCCCGGTGGTGACTGTGTCACTCAGTAGTTTGGGTGCGTCAATGGGCAAGATAGGCTCTCGGCCGAGCAGCAGGTAGTAAGGTGACAGGTCTCGCAAGGCCGCCTGCTTGCTGAATCGGTATCCCGCCACCACCCATGGTAACCTCAAATCCCAGTCCCTCTTATACTGCTCCCCATACGCTCTCAGACCCTTCTTCAGGGTCTGGACGAACCGCTCCGTCAGACCGTCGCTTTGTGGGTGATACCTGGATGTCTTCCGATGGGTAATCCGTGTGTTCTTGAGGAGCTGATCGAACGCTCCTTGGAACTCAGTTCCTTGGTCGGTTAGAACCTCTCCGCATGCGCTGAACCGCGTGAGGACCTGCTCCTCGAATGCCTCTGCTATCTTAGCCGAGTTCTTGCTCGGCAACGCTTTCACCTCCACCCATTTGCTCTCGTGTTCGATCATAATGAGTATGTACCGCTTGCCTCGCCTGCTCAGCGGCATCTCTCCCGCCAAGTCCAAGGACCATCGGAACCCCAGCCCTCGGATCGGCAATGACTGGAACTCCCTTCTTCCGCGGTCTAACTCCGCTCGGTTTCTGCTGCAGAGCTCGCACCCTTGCACCCACTCCCGCACTTGCTTCCGCATCCCCGCCCACCACCAGTTTGTGCCCACTAGCTGCTGAGTCCGGAGCTCGCCGTAGTGCCCCAGCTGGCGGTGAACTCGGGCGATGATGGCCTCCCGCTGGGACGGCTCTGGCACTACCTTCCATCCGTCCTTGGTGTTCACTTGCAGCTGGTCTTGGTACCACCTGTAGTGAGCCCCTCTGGCGCGCACTCGTTCCGCCACTGCCCCTTCTTCCC